AAACCTAGCCCTATCACTTCTGGTGTAGTACAAGGTAGTGTCATTGGACCCCTCCTATTTACACTATACATCAATGACATATGCGCTTGCTTCACGCACGGGAAACCATTCATCTTTGCAGATGACCTAAAAGTAGCTTATACATTCCAACGTGATGACTTAGGGAACTTCGAGAATGTAGTGCAGAAGGAATTAGATAAAATGACTGCTTGGTCGTCCCTATGGAATCTCCAATTCAATCTGAACAAATGTGGCTGGATCTGCTTCGGTGCACCCTCAATTGACCTGAAATTAACGCTCCAATCTGCTAACCTAACCAGACTCCGAAGTGTCGTTGACCTAGGCCTGAGGTACTCTAGTGACTTGACATTCTCTGAGCAAGTAGCATCACAGACTAGAAAATCGAGGATGCTCTTAGGATGCATACTCAGGAACTTTCACGACAATGAAGCCAAGCTAATTCTGTACAAAACATGTGTCAGACCACTACTAGAATACTGTCCATTTATTATAAGCAGCACTCGCACACGTGACAAGCTAAGGATGGAAAGTATCCAACGATATTTTACCTCAAAACTACTTGGCTACGATTGTAAGAAAGACTACATCTCACGGTGCATGATCCTAAAACTCGACCCACTTTGGACAAGGCGACTTATTATAAACCTAATATTCTTCTTTAAGGTCCTTCACAAAATATCATTCTCAGGTAACAGGGACATACAATTCGCACAGGAAGGTTCTTACGATCTGCGTAACCAAACTTCCACAGTGACAACTCATTCTTTTAAGTCAACACTCCGTGAAAACTTCTTCACAGTCATGTATTCTAAAATATGGAATAGCCTGCCCCTAGATATCAGAACTTGCTCTTCGGTTACAAGCTTCAAACGCTCTCTATACAGACTGTTTCACTCTACTGATTATATTAATAAACTATTTACTCCTAGAACGAATCAATCACTAATCTACTACAGCACCTAAAAGACGCACTTCAACACCCTTAGCAATCTAAAAAATATAAATAAACTAGCAGCATGGATGCATAAAGACTTAGTACGGAACATACAGGATTAGTTTACCCTTAGAAATAGGACGTGTCCCTCTAGTGTAACCTTCAAACGCTTGCTATATAAACTGTTTTGTCCCAATGATTATCCCTACCAGAACCCATCACTTATTTCTAAAACGCACCAGTCATTAGAACGCTAAAACGCTCAGACTCATTAATACACATTATGACACTAAATGAACTCTAAGACTTCGCATAAATACGTGAAAACACAACTAAAACGTAAATTTTTACTAATGTATAATATACAATTGACATAAACATTTATAAGTGCATAAAATATTAATGTCCTTTTCATTTTCACATACTTTCTCTTTCTGGTATTCTGCTGCTCCTATTCATCTTCTGGTCGAGGTCGAAAAACTGGAAGAAATATATATTATTATTATACATGTAATACCCGAGTTAATTATGCTTTTCTTAAACCTTTTCAGACTTATGGAAAAACATATGTGCCGCGTACGCAGATGGAACTTACTGACGGTAACAGAGGACTACTCATCTGAATTATCTGTACATTTGAAATCTGATTTTTGTTTAATAAACAATTTTTCAATGAATCTGTCTTCCTTCTGTTGTAATGCGATTGTGTTCCAGTAACGTAAGTAGCACGTGCTAAGTTAGAAGTTGAGGGTAAACTGTTAGGAGTAAATGCGGCGTCTGGAAAACTTTTGTTTACGTGATTATAAGAGCAGATAGCAACGTATCGTGTTCTTTGGCTGAGAACCCTAGGCATTCTGTTTTTAATTATTACGATGACCGTAGTTGCACTGAGTCATACATCTAACAGCATAGGTAGCTTCTCCTTATGGTACACTGCGGCATGCAGAAATCACAAGCAAACTATGTCAGGTAGATTTACTCTCACTTTGTGACTATGAATCGCGAATAAGTATATGTATTCTGCTAAGACGATAGATAACTCGAAACGCTTTATAATCGCAATACCTCCTCTGCGATTTAGACATATTTACTTTACTTGACTACAACATAATGTTTTACCAATAGGCTTCTCCGAATATCTGCTCCTACTTAGTATTTCAAAGATAGCCTCATATACTCTATGCCTCACGAATTACGCAAGGGCTAATATTCGGTCTTACCAAGTAGAATAAACAAACGAATAACGATGAATACATTTATTAATGAATTGACATGTAATACAAAATCGACAACAGTGCAGGCATCTTTTTCTTTATCATCCAAATCCATGAAATTGCCGAAAGCAGATATTATCTGAAAAGGAACATAAGAATTAAACAGATGTAGATATTGTTATCAGTGTAAACACGATAATTAACCATTAAATATGTTTGAAATGACCAAATAATTAGTTGAATTGTATATAATTACGTCAGTAAATATTCTTCAATAATACAAAATCGATATTCCATCTGCCTGCAAACGTCAAGTTTATGTCATAAAATAAGGAAATACTATGCGCATATAATTTCTAAGTATTTCTTCAGATTTTTCCTTAAAGAAATACATGTGGAGGAGCCTTGTCAGCATTAGGAAAAGTACACAACAAATTAAATGAAATAATTACCAAAACGAGCTATCCCACCTCATCATGTCCATGTATAATCCATTAAAATGCAAAAAAAATTTACGAAATGGTCGTTATAACGTGTGTCTTCAAGTAATTCGACATATTCTGAACGGAAAAGTACGCTTTTTCAACAAACTGCCTGTAAGCTACGGCCGGATAAGGACACCACCATTGCCCATTTCTGCTAAATACGCCGTATTTCATCAACTTTTAGCTGGAATATATGTAAAAAAGTGTGTATAACAACGAAAAATGACCTAACCTTGACGTCTTTTCCAAAAATAACGCCAATATCCATCAGCTGATCAAATGACCTACGGCCGTCTACAGGCTGCCTGATTTTCCTGACGCACTTGGTTCGCTCCCTCGTTGTGCTTTCATACAGCGCAGTCTTCGAGCCTACCTCCAGTCGAGTCAGTAGATAAGTTGTACAGTCACTTTATTTATTAAATCTGTTATTCAGTTACATTAAATACAACTCATACTACGAATTCTTTCCATTTTTAGCCTTTAAACTTCGATTGCGTTAACCAGTACTTACACGTTAGGTAGAGTACTGGTAAAGTTATAGGTCGGTGAAGCTTTTAGTAAGTGTGGGGATATCGAGGTCTATTTCAAGTCTAGCCCCAACACTTACAAGCTATTCTGTGTATCGCGGCTAGTTATATTTGTGTTCGCATTCACACTGCTCCTGTTAATTCCAAATTTTTCTCATAATATGGTCCTTCATTATTCTGGATGCAACCCAGACGAAAAACGCTTAAAATTGGAAACGAGCTGTACCCCCATCGTACCACTACAACCATCCTTGACTTCATGCTTTACCAAATTCCCCATGTACCTTCCCCTTATAGAAAATTAATCCCTTATGAAAAATGGATGGAGACTCACACTTCACATTACTGTAAAAAGTGTTACGTACAGACACATATTTGTATTTCGCCCCGGGTGGGGGTAGCTTCACTGGCAACGTAGGTCCACTTTACCCAAGTCATCTTCATTTTGAAAAGTTGTTGCCGGCGGAAAGGTTACAGGGACCCCGCAATATTCAGAGGGTGTTACATCTCCCCAGTTCATCTTTAATACTCCCAAAATAAACAAACAATGGAAATTATGCACTGAGTAGATTTCCAAACCACTCACAGATACTTTAGGTGTCTTACACGTCCAGATGCTATTTTCGTGCTTCCTTTTGTGCAGTTAACAAGTACATCCACTAACCTATGGTTCAGAAGCAACTGCCACGTAAGCTCCTAAAACCGATCCCACCAATAATCTTAGCATTTGTCCGAATTTAGTGTACCGCTCATCTGGTTACATTCCAAAGTTACTGGGTCTTTTCATTTCTTGCTTCGTTTTCAGTGCCAAAAGTTCATGGCATCTGCTGATTAAGTGGGTACTTAAGTACATCGTGTTTAGTAAGGTTGATACAGTACTACATGCCAAGAGCACAGACACTTCCTCACAATGGGCTGGATAGACAACAATATCCGGAAGACCATAGATTAAAATGCGGAATAATACTGATGCCAGGGTGTGTCCCTGCTGCAGTCCCAAGAAAATCGTCCTCCCAGACGTCGTTACCTGGGTTTTCGGTATCGAATTTCCCAGTCCCCAGCAGGGCTCCAAAACCAGATGGAGAAGGATTGCTAGTATAATCTTCAGAGATCTCCATAGATGGATTTGTACTACCCCTATACCTACTGTGAACATGCTTTTTAATCTAATTTGTATACTTGTATTATATGTGTATACAGACCGATAATAGACATACTTCGCAAACATTCGTCATTTTTCTGTGGAATATTACCTTGACAAAATTTCGAATTTGATTACTGCTATAATACGACAGAGGCTGAAATAAATATAGGCAGTTTTTTATTGGCTGTTGGCTAGCTGGCTTTTTATTGGTCTAAAATATAAATTAAAGCGCCAATCTCTTCATTTTGACACGGAAATTTACAGTCAGTAAAATTTCGGGCTTACCTTACCATAATATAATGGCGTGTTAATTTTTTTGGTGTGAGTGTAGTGTGGCAGTCACACGCTATTTGGATGCATTGTTGATGTTTAAAGTATATTGGGATGTATGAGAATGTCCAGAAGGTGAATATAAATCAACAATAATTTTGATGCATTTATTTTAAGTCCAAAATAGGAAGTATGCCATTTTGGTTACTAGGCGAATATAATTCAACTACCATTTCTATAAATTTTATGTGTCCTGAATTATTACATGTAGAAATATGCATGTAGTAACTAATCTACTTTTTTAAGTTGTCACTTCAATGATTTGTGGGAATTGTGCGTACTACGTCAGTATGAATGAAGTAAATTGACAAGGTCATGGCCAGTGGTATATAAGCACTGAAATATATACTAGTGTTTATTTACTTGAAATCATAGTGTTGTGCACGTTAGGAATTGTTAAAACGATTAAATGATGTTGCAAAGTACACCTACTGCGTCTACTTCAAGAAATATATCATCTTTATTGTGTGATGTAACAGCTATATTCCAAAGGATAATGTTGTGTTGTATATTTTATACATGGACACAATTTAAGGAAGCTTTAGACACGTTTATGAAAGTACTAACTAAGTTGTTCTTTATTTCTTTGAAAGGAATCCAATACATCCTATCGTGTTGATTCAAGTAAAAAAGATCCATCCGGTGCTGATGACTACAAGTTTGTGAAGTTTAAATGCACTTTTGGAAGTCATCGTGCTCCCCGAGGTGCTGGCTTTAGGAACAGAGGGTAAGTTGGCTGCGTGTGTAAATTTTAAAAATTTTAAGGTTCAAAAGTACATCATGTCAGTCAATAATTCTAGTCCAGCGGAAATCCAACGTATACATGATAACCAAGTACAAAACTGTGCATAACCATCCCTGCACAGCAAGTTTCATGTCCACCGATGTATCTAGACGTCGGTTATCATCACAAGAAATGGCAGTTATCCAACCGTTCATTGAAAGGAATACTGATTTCCATGAAATCATGGATCTAGCACATGAGAAGTTCGGAAAAGCGCTCCTGTATAACGATATTAAAAACATGCGGGCTAAGATAAATAAACGTAAGTCCTATCAAAATAAATGGTGCAGTAGAATAGAAATTGGTAGTTTCGAAGAGCTGCTTCATCGACTGAGGCAGACAGGTCCAGTTAAAGTTTTCCAGGACAATGCAGGCTTTGTATCTAAAATCATTTTTGCTCGTAATGATATGATAGACGTGTATCATAAGTTTCCAGAAGTAGTTGGAATCGATTGTACTTACAAAACGAATAAGATGGGGTAAGTTTCAGTACAACAAGGTATAATTCCTTTTCCAAATTTGTTACAGATGGCCTTTATATCAGTTTGTTGTGACTGATGGATTCGGAAGAGGAAGGACTGTTTCGTTTGCTCTTACTAGGAGAGAAACGTTTGCAGATATCAAGGAGATATTGCAAACGTTTAAGAGATTTATGGTGGATACATCGAAAACATTAACATTCACTGTCGACTGTGCAACTGCACAGATGAACGCCCTAAAGGAGGAATTCCCTAGTTGCCATATTGTTTTGTGTCTTTTCCATGTATGCCAGGCATTCAGAAGGAAGGTAGGTTTCATTCCCATTAACTGACATAGGGGAAACAGTTCCCAAATCAGCTTGTTAAAAAGTGGTTGTATCGAATGGCGCACACGCGCAGTTATGACAGGTAGGTTAGCAAATCAGAGTATATTGCCAAAGGTTTTGGCGTTACCTAAACCTCATAAGTATTGTAGACACTGAGGCTGGTGCTTACATTAGAAGGTACTGGCTAAGGACACGCAAATATTGGGCTGCATCGTGCAACAGGTTCACCATCAGTATAGGGAACAATACTAACAACAGAGTTGAGAATGCTCATAGGCAGTTGAAAAGATATCTAAGTAAAGGTGATCCTATGGAACTGACGCTATGGAAAATATTGAGGTGGATCGACCACACAACCATGCGTAAAATACGTCAGGGCCAGTGGATGCTTGCTAAATACTACAATTACGATGTAAGTTCGAAGATAACTTTCGATTTATCCTAGGTACCTAATTCCCTGAAGTCTCATTTACAGAGTCTCACACCGTTTGCTGCCCAGAAAGTTGTGTTAGATTTACAAAGGTGTTCCTTCTTCTTCCACTCAATATCTTCTACCTCAGTTATTTACGCAGAAGGTGGTCACATCTTCTTCGTAAACAGGAACGAGGCGAAATACACATGTTGGACATACTGCTCATACAATTTGCCTTGTGCACATGTCGTTGAGGCGTTCTTGAACTCATATCTAAACTGTGGTATGTTCCACTTCTTTAAATGTTACTCTTAGATATTCTGAGGAATAGTGAGAGGTGGACACGTCTATATAACATTACGGACAACATTCCGAGGGCCATCCGGTTAATACCGGAACCAAACAACGCGTTTCGAAATGCTTATGAACGTTTAAGATATCGTCTCAACAGTCTGAACCGAAGAAATCCAGATGCTGCACTGAGGGAAATAGCGGAGTTTACCAGAAGGTCGGACAGTTTGCTAGCAAATGAACCGCAAACAACTTTAAGATTACGACGTGCCCCTGTTAATCGATTATTTTTGTGAAAATATTTGTATTACCTTTTTATTTCCATTTGTATTCAGAATATAAACATGTATGTATAAACTGCTGTTACACTTCCTTTCCTTTCAAAAGGCTAAGACCGACAGTTTAAAGAATACTCTGGTTGATTGTTTCGTTAAGAGAGCGCTTTGAAAGTCACTTAGAAATTAAAACGATCTGTGCCTTATTTACTACGTTTTTCAGCCGAGCATTTGCGGTTCATAGCATATCCTGAATAACGGTGATTAATACGATTTATCACTTAGACCGCAACACCACCAAGCCTACTATATTCATAAACTTATTCTAACCTATTCATCGATAAGGCCTTTTTATGGTAAATGAAGCTCTTATTTACCCACTATTTTCTCAAATAACGCTGGTCATGCTTACAATGATACCTAGGTGCTGAATTGAGTCTTTTAGTTCTGAAATAACGCTAGTCCGAGCCTAATTTGTCCTGTGAGGGATGGAACAGAGCGGATAAGCAAACCCAGTCGGTTCCATTTACTTTCAATCATGATAAGAAACCAGCTCTTAGTTTTAATCTCAAACAATGGCAGAACGGTTAGGCAGTTTACTTATTGAATAAGGTAAATATATTAGAAACGTATACCTTATTTGGCTGAATCATCGCAGGTTCACCATAACCCTTGACTACCAACATAAAAACTGGGAACTTCAAGCTAAAAATCACCTTAATAGTAGTATCCAGTGTCATAAACTGATCTACACACTGCAAAATGGGAAAAACATGCACAAAAACCTTTGAAATTCAATGGAAATCGAATTCACGAAAAGATATAACCAGCCGACGATTTCCATTGAATTTTAAAGGTTTTTGTGCATGTTTTTCCCATTTTGCAGTGTGTAGATCAGTTTATGACACTGGATACTACTATTAAGGTGATTTTTAGCTTGAAGTTCCCAGATTTTATGTTGGTAGTCAAGGGTTATGGTGAACCTGCGATGATTCAGCCAAATAAGGTATACGTTTCTAATATATTTACCTTATTCAATAAGTAAACTGCCTAACCGTTCTGCCATTGTTTGAGATTAAAACTAAGAGCTGGTTTCTTATCATGATTGAAAGTAAATGGAACCGACTGGGTTTGCTTATCCGCTCTGTTCCATCCCTCACAGGACAAATTAGGCTCGGACTAGCGTTATTTCAGAACTAAAAGACTCAATTCAGCACCTAGGTATCATTGTAAGCATGACCAGCGTTATTTGAGAAAATAGTGGGTAAATAAGAGCTTCATTTACCATAAAAAGGCCTTATCGATGAATAGGTTAGAATAAGTTTATGAATATAGTAGGCTTGGTGGTGTTGCGGTCTAAGTGATAAATCGTATTAATCACCGTTATTCAGGATATGCTATGAACCGCAAATGCTCGGCTGAAAAACGTAGTAAATAAGGCACAGATCGTTTTAATTTCTAAGTGACTTTCAAAGCGCTCTCTTAACGAAACAATCAACCAGAGTATTCTTTAAACTGTCGGTCTTAGCCTTTTGAAAGGAAAGGAAGTGTAACAGCAGTTTATACATACATGTTTATATTCTGAATACAAATGGAAATAAAAAGGTAATACAAATATTTTCACAAAAATAATCGATTAACAGGGGCACGTCGTAATCTTAAAGTTGTTTGCGGTTCATTTGCTAGCAAACTGTCCGACCTTCTGGTAAACTCCGCTATTTCCCTCAGTGCAGCATCTGGATTTCTTCGGTTCAGACTGTTGAGACGATATCTTAAACGTTCATAAGCATTTCGAAACGCGTTGTTTGGTTCCGGTATTAACCGGATGGCCCTCGGAATGTTGTCCGTTGTTTTATATAGACGTGTCCACCTCTCACTATTCCTCAGAATATCTAAGAGTAACATTTAAAGAAGTGGAACATACCACAGTTTAGATATGAGTTCAAGAACGCCTCAACGACATGTGCACAAGGCAAATTGTATGAGCAGTATGTCCAACATGTGTATTTCGCCTCGTTCCTGTTTACGAAGAAGATGTGACCACCTTCTGCGTAAATAACTGAGGTAGAAGATATTGAGTGGAAGAAGAAGGAACACCTTTGTAAATCTAACACAACTTTCTGGGCAGCAAACGGTGTGAGACTCTGTAAATGAGACTTCAGGGAATTAGGTACCTAGGATAAATCGAAAGTTATCTTCGAACTTACATCGTAATTGTAGTATTTAGCAAGCATCCACTGGCCCTGACGTATTTTACGCATGGTTGTGTGGTCGATCCACCTCGATATTTTCCATAGCGTCAGTTCCATAGGATCACCTTTACTTAGATATCTTTTCAACTGCCTATGAGCATTCTCAACTCTGTTGTTAGTATTGTTCCCTATACTGATGGTGAACCTGTTGCACGATGCAGCCCAATATTTGCGTGTCCTTAGCCAGTACCTTCTAATGTAAGCACCAGCCTCAGTGTCTACAATACTTATGAGGTTTAGGTAACGCCAAAACCTTTGGCAATATACTCTGATTTGCTAACCTACCTGTCATAACTGCGCGTGTGCGCCATTCGATACAACCACTTTTTAACAAGCTGATTTGGGAACTGTTTCCCCTATGTCAGTTAATGGGAATGAAACCTACCTTCCTTCTGAATGCCTGGCATACATGGAAAAGACACAAAACAATATGGCAACTAGGGAATTCCTCCTTTAGGGTGTTCATCTGTGCAGTTGCACAGTCGACAGTGAATGTTAATGTTTTCGATGTATCCACCATAAATCTCTTAAACGTTTGCAATATCTCCTTGATATCTGCAAACGTTTCTCTCCTAGTAAGAGCAAACGAAACAGTCCTTCCTCTTCCGAATCCATCAGTCACAACAAACTGATATAAAGGCCATCTGTAACAAATTTGGAAAAGGAATTATACCTTGTTGTACTGAAACTTACCCCATCTTATTCGTTTTGTAAGTACAATCGATTCCAACTACTTCTGGAAACTTATGATACACGTCTATCATATCATTACGAGCAAAAATGATTTTAGATACAAAGCCTGCATTGTCCTGGAAAACTTTAACTGGACCTGTCTGCCTCAGTCGATGAAGCAGCTCTTCGAAACTACCAATTTCTATTCTACTGCACCATTTATTTTGATAGGACTTACGTTTATTTATCTTAGCCCGCATGTTTTTAATATCGTTATACAGGAGCGCTTTTCCGAACTTCTCATGTGCTAGATCCATGATTTCATGGAAATCAGTATTCCTTTCAATGAACGGTTGGATAACTGCCATTTCTTGTGATGATAACCGACGTCTAGATACATCGGTGGACATGAAACTTGCTGTGCAGGGATGGTTATGCACAGTTTTGTACTTGGTTATCATGTATACGTTGGATTTCCGCTGGACTAGAATTATTGACTGACATGATGTACTTTTGAACCTTAAAATTTTTAAAATTTACACACGCAGCCAACTTACCCTCTGTTCCTAAAGCCAGCACCTCGGGGAGCACGATGACTTCCAAAAGTGCATTTAAACTTCACAAACTTGTAGTCATCAGCACCGGATGGATCTTTTTTACTTGAATCAACACGATAGGATGTATTGGATTCCTTTCAAAGAAATAAAGAACAACTTAGTTAGTACTTTCATAAACGTGTCTAAAGCTTCCTTAAATTGTGTCCATGTATAAAATATACAACACAACATTATCCTTTGGAATATAGCTGTTACATCACACAATAAAGATGATATATTTCTTGAAGTAGACGCAGTAGGAGTACTTTGCAACATCATTTAATCGTTTTAACAATTCCTAACGTGCACAACACTATGATTTCAAGTAAATAAACACTAGTATATATTTCAGTGCTTATATACCACTGGCCATGACCTTGTCAATTTACTTCATTCATACTGACGTAGTACGCACAATTCCCACAAATCATTGAAGTGACAACTTAAAAAAGTAGATTAGTTACTACATGCATATTTCTACATGTAATAATTCAGGACACATAAAATTTATAGAAATGGTAGTTGAATTATATTCGCCTAGTAACCAAAATGGCATACTTCCTATTTTGGACTTAAAATAAATGCATCAAAATTATTGTTGATTTATATTCACCTTCTGGACATTCTCATACATCCCAATATACTTTAAACATCAACAATGCATCCAAATAGCGTGTGACTGCCACACTACACTCACACCAAAAAAATTAACACGCCATTATATTATGGTAAGGTAAGCCCGAAATTTTACTGACTGTAAATTTCCGTGTCAAAATGAAGAGATTGGCGCTTTAATTTATATTTTAGACCAATAAAAAGCCAACAGCCAATAAAAAGCTGCCTATATCCATTTTTTATAATACACATTCGTACTCTCAGGAAATGCCTTTTGATTTACATTGTGGGCGTCGAGTAGCCACAACGTCTGCGCACATTAATAAGAACGAAGAAATACTAGAATATATGTGTACGGCAGTTAAGTCAGACAACGCACGCGACAAATTGGTGAGCTCGACGTGATTTTGGTGAGCCTCACTGAGGAAATTGGCGAGCCTGACGACAAATTGGTCACCTTTACGATAACTTGTTCCCCACGCCGCATCATTACACTTGCTGGATTATTTAAACTCTAAATTTATCGGATCCATTTATATACATATAACAGACATTTTGAACTCATTCTTATGCTTTCTCATCACACAACTTGCAGTAATCTGTGGTAACCCAAGCTTACAGCAATTCTAAACTTATTCTAACCTATTCTGTGATAATGCTTTTTTATGGTAAATAGCCATTTCATCTACCCACTATGTTCTGAAATAACGCTGGTCGTGCTTAAATAAAGAGCTGGGTGCTTAATTAATGCAACAAAATCTTAAAAATAAGATCATCATCTGAAATAATGCCTTTAGTGCTGAAAATTAGCACTGCATGCTTAACTGCTGCGGTTAATACTGAAAAATAGTACTCCACCTGTACATAGTATATTGAAACCAACCAATCAGCAAAGTGTAGGTTTCACACAGATTACGTAGTGTAACGGCTACAGACTTGTCTGCGAATTACATATGATGTGATTGATCTATTTGACCAGAGGTGTGACAGTAGATAAGAATACAACGAAAACATAATTCAACAGGGGTAGGGGAAGGTGAATTGGTCGCATGAATTCATACGAAAAATATATTATGAATAATATATTTTTCGTTTGTGGAATGTAAGCGAATTTGAGACGAGGTCAAAAATGAAAAAAATTTATAAACCAGACATGTCTGGTTTATAAATTTTTTTCATTTTACATCGTACATCATAAGTCTGATGTCTGTTCTACGATTGTCAAAATTATTAATGTAAAAAATTTCTGGGCCATATTGAATTCTATCTTACCAAATTTCACACCATTTCATGTAGCATTTTATATCCACCTACTAATCCTACAATTTTGCACCCCTTTCCAACATCTATACACCTCAGGTATTATTCTATATCTGACACTGATTGTCTTGCTACTTTACATTTAACTATGATTAGAATTACAGATATTTTATTTGCATTTCATACCATTATTATTATATAATAATAATGGTGTGAATACATAACATATGTTATGTAAATTGTTTCGATTGCTGAATACTGTCTACGAGTTCATATATTTAAACCTTGGGAATCCAAATGAAACAAGGGGTGACAGATTGTGTTGATTCACATATGAAAACATATACTTGCTGTAAGGAAAATGTTAACAATTGTGATTACAATTTAATTGGTGGACTGTGATTACAGTTCACAAGTCATCCCTTTTCATATTTAACAGACTGATGTTTGCCTAGAAGTATATAAGCAGTACTCCTCACATACAAAGACCATTCTTACAGGATTTATAAATCATGCAGGTGAGTTAGATTTTGGGTGCATATTTGTCCATTTCTATTAAAAGGAAAACAACTCAGATAATGTGTTAAATACGGGTATTCAACATTCTGCAACAAGTCGTAAGAGAAGAATATCTTCTGGCAGACTGCATGAATGCTTTGGATACAGCTACTCAACATTTTATCGCCGTCAAAAACGGTTACGTGATGCAGCATTCAGTGACTGGGACTTCTGGAAACGTTACTACTCATCCAGAGAAGAGGTGGCAAGGGATAATACAGTAACTTTGCCTTCAAGTTCAACTGTACAGGGAACAGTGGGTTTACCTAGTACTAGTGAGACCGTCGCTGTTGTTTCACAAATTGAAGAGAATCGTAACATTTATTATTATGTAATAATTAATTTCAATAGAACTTCAGGTTGTTCCTGAGAAGATGACACAAAAAGAGCTGGTCAGAAAGTCAATTATGGAATTGTTCCTTCAGAACAATGTAACAGGGGCGCTTGCGCAAAATATCTTGGACTGTATGCGTAAATTTAATCCACATGTGCCAACAACCATAAGAGGCTTGCTAGAAGATAGTGGCATGTGTGTACCTAGATTTCTTGGACAAGGTGTTTACTATCACATTGGACTGAAGGAAAATCTGCAGCGTTATCTAGATAGTTGGGTTGACCACGGTACTTTTCAACATATTGGCTTGCAAATCAACTATGACGGTTTATCTATATCAAACAGTTCTTCGCAGCAATTATGGCCATTCCTAGGTCGTATCACAACTCCATACGTCAGTGACGTTTTCTTAATTGGCATACATGGCGGTTTGAGAAAACCGAGTAACTTCAATGAGGTTTCTATGGACCTACTAGTTGAATTGAAAGATCTTTAAAAACAATGATCAAGACACCAAGAAGGTAGACATGGACGATGATACGTTGCCAATGCCTAGTAATAGACCTAAAAGGTAGGTAGCGTTACCTGTGTAACACATTTTTCAGGGATGCCAAGAAAACTGAGAAGAATTTCCTTTACAACTCTATGGATATTGATGTAGCCGCCAGTGAGGTTGGTAGCATAAAACCACAATATCCAGAGTATAATATATTGGATGACTTCGTGGCCCCAAATCCAAGGTTTTAACCTATTTGAAAGCCCTTCATTTTCAGTACTTCCAGTGCTCCCATATTTCATTCATCTCCTATTGGCAAAAAGTCCTATGTGTGTGACCGGTAGGAAAAAATTGTTACAATTTTTATTTATGCTTTAGATTGCCGTCTAACGAAGATGCTACTGAATCCACAAATAAGAAATTACTCGGTAATTACTTAAAAATAATTATTTATTTAAAGATACAAATATGGAAATCATTAACCTGTGCACGAAAATATTGAACATTATGACTACTGACAGAAAATCTCGACAGCAAACCTACCCTCCAGCAAACGGTGACTTAACACTGCAGTTTCCGCTCGAGAATGAAGACCAGTTAGAGATGCTGGAAGCATCTTTAAGAGACGAAAAGTACAAACAGCAATATGTGAGTTGACATATTTAATTCTTATTTCTTGTAGACTGCTAAGATGGCTAGCTGCCTTCAGAGTGATCCAAAGTTATCACTTAAGGTCATGATGCACCATGTTATAAAACCTGAAGTGGGTTTGAAGTTTACATTCCAGGGGACTTTGACAAAGTCAAGCATTGTGCCTTATGCCTTTTATAAAATAATAAGATGTAAGTTTCATTAATGAAGTAATTAGTTCTGTAGCTTTAATTATGTCGCACTTCTCCGGCCAACTAATGACGACGAGAGAGATTGGTTACATGATGGATAGGGCCACGAAATCGTACTTTCATAATTTGAAAGATCGTGTCCAAAGGCGTAAGCGGAAGCAAGGAATTCAGGTAATATTGCGAAACGCCTGCTTACTTTAATAAGTGAACGTTTATTCAACATGTAGTAATCACAACATTGTTTTAATTTTTAGGCAAATGAAAAAGATACCGGGGGATATAACAGTGGCACTTATGTAAGTAAACTTTCATAAATGTAAATGCTCAGAATGTGCTCAGCACAATTTTTCACCCACTAATATTTTATTTTGCTTATTTGCAGGATGCTACCAGTGGATCGCAATTGACGGGATTGCAGTGACATTGTACTACAGTTTATAAATACAAAAGTCTCTTAATTGTAAAAACTGATTTCTTTCTGAATTGCGCGGGCGTAGGACACAGGTGATGATAATAAGTAGAAGTCTTTTAGTTCTAAGGTAAAGCGAGTAAGTGCTGAATACGGTCTGCGAAGGCTTAAATTAGGCTGAAAAAATTTCCACTATGTGCTGAATTAAGTCTTTTCGTTCTAAAGTAGTGCTAGTCAGTGCTTAATACGATCTGCGAAGGCTTGAATTAGGCTGAAAAAATTTCCACTATGTGCTGAATTAAGTCTTTTCGTTCTAAAGTAGTGCTAGTCAGTGCTGAAAATGATCTGAAAGGGCTGAAATAAAGCTGATAAGCAAACCCCGTAGGTTCTGGTCCACTCCCGACAATGCTTAAAAGAAGAACACGGTGCTGAAATAGCGCTAGTTATGCTGAAAACTAGCACTGAGTTCTAGTCTGTGCCATTAAACAATTGGATTTCAGAACAAATTCAGAATTTACTCACTATAGGATGCTAGAATTATTTCAGAATTACTGAGATTTAATTCAGAATTACAGTAAGATAGGGAAGCATCTGCATTGCATGTTTTTCTGTTTTGCCATATTCTTGGTGTGCATAATTTTTGCTATTTTGTTACTCCCAAACCATTTTACTACGAATTGTAAAATCTCTTCCAATACCTCTAATAACTTAGAGCTGGGATCTGTTAGTACTATTTCTCTGACTGTACCAGTTTTTAAGCGCAGAAACCCCATCTTTGGTTTGCACGACTGGAACATTATTTCAATGCCAATAAGCTCACGTCACAGACGGCTAAATTCGGCATTTTGAGTACAGTACTCCCAGACAAAATCGCCGAACAGGGTCGACAACACATAGTTCAACCCAGCACAGACGCTCCTTACGACAAGTTGAAAGAAGAGGTACTTCGATGCACTTCACTTTCAGATAGGCAAGCACTCGATCGTTTGTTAAGCAATGTAGAGCTAGGTGATAAAACCCCATCACAACTCATGAGGCATATGCAAAACCTAGTAGCAGGGAGAGATATCGATAAACATCTCTTTTACCAAATTTGGTTGCGACGACTTCCTGCAAGCATTCAACAAGTTCTTGCTTTCGGAGACGACAACATCGACATAGAAAAGCTCGCCGAAATTGCGGATTGCATGTACGAGAGGTCAACACCTCAATCTGTTGCTTCCACTAGCAGAATACCAGACACTCACGGTAGGATACAGACTCTAGAACACAAAGTCGACACCTTACTGAGTCAGTTAGCAGCACTGACCACACGCACACGACCAGGCCGTTCTAGAAGCTCGTCTCGTCGACGTCTTTCTCGGTCACCCAGCACGTCACGACATCACGATACTATTTGCTGGTACCACCGTAGTTACGGAAGCAATGCACGACGGTGTCGTTCACCTTGCAACTTTCAGGCTAAACCAAAAGATATATCGTCATGTATGAAAACTTCTACTGTCGGCAATCTACGATCTAGCAGTCGTTTGTTTTATGTAACAGGTAGAAATACCGGTACTACATTTTTAGTTGACACAAGAGCAGAGGTTAGTGTTCTCCCTCCGTCTACGCAGGAACGTCAACATCCTGACCCTGCAGTTACGCTCCAAGCAGTTAACAAGTCTAATATTGTTACATATGGTAGTAAACGAATGACTTTAGATTTTGGTCTGCAGAATACCTACACTTGGTCTTCCATCATCGCAGACGTTCCATCCCCAATCCTTGGTATAGATTTCCTAAAGCAACACAAACTGCTAGTTGATCCAATAAGCCCTAAGTTAATAGACTCGCTCAATAAAAAGTACATCGCTGGTACGATTAGCCGTGCATCATCGTTGAACTTGATGGTCACACGCACACCAGCATCTCCATATACCAACTCGGCAGATCAATTTCCTGACATTCTACAACCATCTTTCCGATCAACAGACCATAAAGCTCCAACGAAAGCTTTATCAGCAAAGCAGGTTAATTACTCTCCGCGCGAAATACGACATCTCGAGTATATATCCCAAGTCAACTCCGATCTGCGACAAGTAAAGGGTAAAAACAATGAAGTGGCAGACGCTTTATCACGTATGCACATTGATAACATTGTATGCCCAGACATCGACTACGAACATCTCTCAAACTTACAACGAGACGACGCCGAACTCAAAAAGATCATGTCTTCTAAAACAACATCTCTAAACCTCGAGGCAATTCCTTCTGGCACGACAAAAGTTATCTGCGACACCTCTACGGGTAAATATCGACCTTTCTTTCCAATAGCTATGAGACATACAGTATTCGAGAAGTTACATAACTTGTCGCATCCTGGTGTAAGCGCTACTACCAAGCTACTAAAGGAAAGATTTATCTGGCCAAACATTAACAGCGATGTTAAGAAGTGGACACGAAATTGCTTGTCTTGCCAAAGAGTCAAAATCAACCGGCACACCAAAGCACCACTTGGTCGCTTCCCTAACCCCGACTCTAGATTTGACCATGTACATGTAGACATAGTTGGTCCACTGCCTCCTTCCAATGGTTTCAACTATATTTTAACTTGCATTGACAGATTTACTCGTTGGCCAGTAGCAGTTCCATTAATCGACGTCTCAGCTGAAACGGTAGCTAAAGCTTTAGTCGAAAACTGGATAGCCAATTTTGGTGTCCCATCAATTATCACTACAGACAGAGGTGCCCAGTTTGAAAGCCGACTTTTTGACCAGCTAACTGAATTACTAGGCATTAAACGAATACGAACGACAACGTATCATCCTAGTTCCAACGGTATGGTCGAACGATTTCATCGACAACTCAAAGCTGCACTCGCTGCTTCTTTGACTCAAAACGATTGGTCAACCAAATTTCCACTAGTATTACTTGGTATACGAGCTACTATAAAGAAAGATATTGGCTGCTGTGCTTCCGAACTAGTCTATGGAACAACATTACGATTACCAGGAGAATTTTTCACCCCGGGTAACGAAGTTCCACACGATATGACTGGTTACGTGCACCAGCTAAAACGACACATGAACGAGCTAAAGATATCAATTCCACGTCAGCAGGAACGAGCGTCATACATCCCGTCACAACTGACAGACTGCACCCACGTCTTCGTCAGGAGAGAAGGTGTACAACGACCCCTTCAACCCGCTTATGATGGCCCATTCAAAGTTCTAAACAGAAACGCGAAAGTTATCACGATAGAAAGATTGAATAAAACAGAAGCCATCAGTATCGACAGAGTCAAACCAGCGTTCCTCGACGATTTCGAAGTCAACAATAAGGACCAGCTGAACGACGTGTCAATGCCTACATCCACAAAAGCTTCAACGTCGACAGAGAAACCTGCGAAAACAACACGATCTGGTAGACGAGTCCATTGGCCTAAACGTTACGTGCAAGTCATCGAAATATAACTTACTAAGAATTTTCATTTTTATTATCTTTATTCGTAATTGTCATTTGACTACTCATTTAACTGATTAATATTTTCATACATAAATCACGTCACTATTATTTTAACATCGATATTTCCTATATTATTACATTTAATCACATCTCGTATATTATTCACGTATCGTTTTCGTCTACCGACTACAGATCCGCGGACAATTTTATCGTTCCTCATATATTCTATTACGATTATGAATTCCACTTTCCCTAGATTATCGCATTTATTATCGACTTTATTAACCGCATTAAACTGCTCATTTTTCAGCTTAATAAATCGCCTTCTGTGTACTATCGCTGCTACGTATTACGCTGACGCATGTTATTTTCGAACACTTATATGTATTTTTTTATATTTTAGTGTTCTGATGGGGGAATTATGTAGTACCCCTATACCAACTGTAAACATGCTTTTTAATCTAATTTGTATACTTGTATTATATGTGTATACAGACCGATTTTATATGTACTTCGCAAACATTCGTCATTTTACTGTTGAATATTACCTTGACACAATTTCGAATTTGATTACTGCTATAATACACATTCGTACTCTTCGCAAGTGCCTTTTGATTTACGTTGTGGGCGTCGAGTAGCCACAACGTCTGCGCACATTAATAAGAACGAAGAAATACTAGAATATATGTGTACGGCAGTTTAGTCAGACAACGCACGCAACAGATTCTCCTATCACACAAAATGAAGCGCCCTGGTTTGCACGTTCGTAATAGTACATTGTGATCCCAGAATGATGTTCAGATATTTGAAGCTGCAAGTAATTTCGAGGCTATAGACTCGTCCTTACTGAATTCATGTTGGGTTTAATGAAAGCTGTTGTTTTTATAACAATGCGTTACCTAGTGTGGTCGTTCAAAATGCATCTTCGGTACTAGAAACACGGGAAATGAATAGGTTTTTCGCATACTAACCTAACAGTATATGGATTTATACTTAATTATGAGTGGTAAAGTTATTAAAGAAAGCTTCCAATGTCAGAATGCACCGTAAAAGGGAGGCAAGATTTGACGTTAGACACCAGTGCTCAGAGAAAACTGCCTCGTTCCAGCTAATATTTAGAGTAAACTCCATTCCAAGCTGTGTCAATGAAAATAAGGTTGGTGAACTGTTTACATAACTAAGCAGAACATATAGATAGTGCCAAAGGAAATCTGAGGCAGAAAGTATGACATACAGGAGAAGCTCTAACACTTAATGATTACCCTGGTAGATCAATCCGGAAGCATGTGAGAAAATGCGAAAATAAAATTGACAATAATGGGGACTACATGCACGGCAAACATACCAAGAAAGATGTCAACACCAATAACAGAGAATTTAAAATATCAGTAGTGATGACATATTATACAAAAAGAACCTGTGAAATATTACACAGAATCCTTAATGAGATAGGAAAAGAAGTACCATTCGAACCCACTAAATAACTTAAAAATTAATGATGTCAGTCAAAGGATCTGTAAAGTACTGACAGTGTTGTTGATTAGCTACACTTTACGACGAGTCATAAAGCTGGCTTCAGTATTACCTCTAAACCCGCATCCAAAAGAGGCTTGAAACACATACTTTAATTCATTGAAGCCTTAGCCATATAACCGCTTAAACCTGTT